TTTCTGCCGGACACCGATGTAATAGCAGCAGTATCCAGCGATGCAAAATTGTTTTTCGTTTCCATAAAATACCGTAGCGTTTTTTGTAAACTGGTTTGTTTGTTTGTGTTTTTTTGATTTATGGTATTGGTGTTTTCGTAAGCTAAAGCAGCATTTTCTTGAAAAGATTCTAATATACTGCTTCAGTCATTACTTTTATAGGAACTGTCCGAGAAGAAGTTTTGTGGAAAGACTGCATTTTCAATTAAACCTTGCTGTAGTGACTATTATATAAGTGTAGTCAATGGTCAAACTTGCTACACTGTTTGCTTACTAGACCTTCAGAATGCTTTGGCAGTGTACAATGAGCCGAAAGAGACAAAAGGGATTTTAGAAGTTGTTTTCGTTTTCACTTATAACTATTTAACACAATTCTCAAGAAGTACAAAAGGATAAGTGTTTGAGGCGTAAAATCTTTTAGCAACTGCAAAAAACCCGTGTTGATATTGTGCAATTTGATGATTCTCTAATATCGGACCTAACAATTCTACCTTTAATGTCTTCTAATCTTCTGGTAAGCATTTTTTACAATCATCTGCCAACGTTCATCTCTGAAGAAGCTTCAGACGTAAAATTTTTTTTGTTGCTAACTGGCCTATCATTAATTTATGGCTATCTTGCGAAGCTCGACTTTCATGTTACTAAAGTTCCTTTGGATTTAGCTACCTGGTAAATCAAATGAAAATATTTTGTTGACTGAAATCGGAGGTTCAAAAAAGTTGATTTCCCATCTTCCACTAGAAGGTAGGTTGAGTTTTTACGTCGTAAATGATAGTTTAACTTTAATTTGAATTCATTTTTTTGATTTTTTTCAACTTTAAGGTCATTGCGGTTTTGTACGAGCGAGAGAGTGCAGCACTTCCGGGCTTCTGCTTCTTTTAGCTGAGGATGGCACTTTTTTTATTCTCGATCTTATAACATGTGTCATTGTGGTTGAAAAGAAAATTCTTCCTTCAGAATTTCGTCCTATTGATTTCGTTATCATTGACTGCGAACTCGCTGAATTGTCTGCATCCACAAAAGTAGCCTTCCTGGTTGAGCACGAGAATACAGTACAAGTAAGTACTCCAAAATACTTTATTTTTGTAAGACTTTGATACTCTCTTATTGTCTGTGTTACGGTGGATAAGTAAGTTCGCTAGTTGATTTTTTTAGTAATTTGTTTTGAGTTTGGACGGACGATGTTTTTATTAGTAGATAAAAGATCATATTTGAATAAAACTTTTGCTAATTAGGTTTGCTTATCCTTCAATAGTTGTTCCTAGAGAAAGTGTTTTGAGTTTCTGAAAAAATTTGACTGAAGTTGAGAGAATTTTCTGACCAAGTAAAACGTATCATGTGTTTTATTTTTCTGCATTTTTAACAAATTTCTTTTCTGTTTTTGTGAAGAGACTTTTCTAGCTGCAAGTTCGTCATTTTGGTGATGGTGGATTACTGTATTCTGTGGTTGTTAACAACAATTCATTGCTTCTTAACACTTCTTCGAAGGAAGACGGGACTGTTTTTCTAACAGAGTTTGTGGATTCTAAACAAAGGTGATGAGCAACGATAATAATAGTAGTATCAGCCTGATTTTAGATGGGTTTTTTTTTCAGTATGGTTGCTGTTAA